AAAAAAAAAAAAAAAAAGAGGATAAAGGGGTCGAAATAACGCCATGCCGGTAAAAAAAGAAAGATTTTGGCTTCGGTAATCCCGATTTATATCCCGAAATTCGTTCGGATGAGGGGAAATAGGTTATCTTTTTTATTATTATTATTTTTTCCTTTTAAATGGATACGTATTTAAATAACCCGAATCCAAATATTTCAAGAGGGCTAAAGGAAACCTTCATAAAACGCATGGGGACGGAGGGATTATGGCTAGGAGTAGGAAATCACACACAACACACACACACACACTCACGGCTTTTCTTGGGATCTAGTTGAGAAAATCCGCCAGTTTAAAAATCCCGAAGAAAAGTCTCAAATATTCCCGGGTCAGGGGGGGGCACCGTCTCATTAAAACCAACGCGGTCCTGAAACTGCGCCGCAGACATTAAAGTGCAGTATTTTTCAATTAGAGCTGACGAATTCAATCAAAATTCCATAGATTAGGATGAAATGAGGCATGGGTCATTTACAGGGGAATTTAATTGCAGAGCCATTAGACAAATAGTATATTTGCCATTCTCACATTATCCATCATTTTCGACATCAATAGAAGGGAACTGCATCTTTAGGAATACGAGCAGCACTTCCCCAATCTCTTGCCTGTAAACACTCCCTTTTCCCCCATAGCTCCTGATTATATCTGATTTCATTTAAAGCCATGGGGGATTATAAATGGTCGTGGCAATCAGGTTCATTAGGACTTCAGAAAAAAAAAAAAAAAAAAAAAAAAACCCCACCGCCAACCACCTCATTTCGGATTTGGATTGCTCTGCGGATCGCGCAGCCTGCGCGGTGCCTCTCTCTTCCTTCTAAAAAAAATTATATATATAATATATATATAATAATCAAATTCCATTTTATTACCGGGGTTACTTAATTGAGCCCCCCCTCCCCTTTTCAGCCCCCAAACAGGTTGTAGGGAGAAAACCCCGCTTCTCACCTGGACCCCCCCACACACACTCCGCGCCCAACACCCCCCTCCATCCGCGCATCCTCCGCGCAAGGGGCCCGATCCTCTCCGCGGATCCTCCCGGGTGGAAAAATACCCGACGGGTGGGCAAAACCCTTTTATTTTTTTTCCTTCTGGGGGGGGGTTTCTCCTTAATTCTCCCCAGCCCCGGCTGTTTAACCTCGCAAACAGAGAGGTGTGCGCACCAGGGCGCGTAATTCTTATTATTTGGAAATTAATTTTTTTCCAGCCGCTGCCGGCCAGGACAATCAGCGTGGGGTGTTTTTTTTGGGTTTTTGTGTTTTTTTTTTTTTTTTTTGCTGCCGGGTGAAAAACCGAGACGGACCAGCCCCGCCACAAGAAAAAAAAAAATAAAAAAAAAGGCGAAAAGCGAAGGTCTCTGACATTTTTTCCCCTTAATAGCAGCTTAATATTAACCGCCTTTCATAAAACACGCGCATCCTGATAGACTTCCGAAGGGGATAAAAAAAAGCAAAAAAAAAAAAAAAAAAGAAGAAAAGCCTTCATTGTAGCAGCTGTTCACGGGGGGGGGGGGGGGGGGGGGGGGGGCCCTGGTTTGGGGTCCTCTTGGCCCCTTCAAAGCACAACGCCCTCGGGTTTTAGCAGCAGGTAGTCGTGTAAAAAAAAAAAAAAAAAAGCAGAAAAGCCTTCATTTCACCCAAATGTATGGTACGCGCAGCGCTGTGTTAGCTGCCTCAGTAATTTAATTGGAATGAAACGTGAAAAATGTGTCATTTTTGGAAGAATTTATGCATCGCTTCCTGGAAATCTCATTGTCTTAACTAGCAGCCTACTGTGTTCTGTTTAGCAGGCGTAATCGCATTTTTATGTGTCTCCGTATTATAAGTTAATGTGACCTCCCGTCTTTAGCTGCTGGAAAAAAAAAAAAAAAAGAAGAAGAAGGAAAAAAAAAAATAATAAAAATGATCCTTTCCCATAGCATCAAAACAAGGCGCCGGCAGGAGGAAAAAAAAATTAAAATATATGTGTATATATATATTTTTTAAATATATATGCGTGTTTATACGTGTGTGTGTGTGTATAGATCCCC